TTCCTGTTTTCTTTTGGTCACCACCCGTGACAATATTGGCTACCAAAAGTCGTGTTGGGAGCAGCTTTTCTTGCTTTGTTCCAACCGTCGAGGTTACATGGACCTCCGGTCATAGCAGAGCTGTCACTGTGATCGTTAGCTAGGCAAACGTCTAGGTCTACGATTCTATGAAAGCCAACAAGAGCATCGAAGCGAAACAGGTGACAGCGCTCACTCAAGTTTCTGATTTGGTGGTGCGTTGTCACGTGTTTCGCTCCGGCTCTTTTTGGCCCGCCAGCCCAGTAGGTGCGTAGCAAAGGAAGCATGCCTCGGTGCCTCCATCGAGAGCGGCGCCGTCCTGGCCGCCCTACCGCCTGGAACACGGACCCGCCACCAGCTCAGCATGCCGATGCTTTCGTTTTCACTTCCCTGCTCCTTTCGCAAAGAAAGTAAGCAAAATAGAGACGGTGTGCAGTCTGCAAATGCCTATGGCATTTCAAGATTATTCATAATGTTCCGCTGTATTATTGTTTAAAAACAAAAAGTTGATCCAATCTATAGGTTACTGGTTACTGCACTAAGGTTACGGTTAACATCAAACTAAAATAACGGTTTCTTTCAGGTTAGTCACCCAAAAAAACAATCCTAGACGGTTTTTCATCCAAATTACAGTTTCAGTTTGTCTGAAAAGAAAAATATTGGGGTGCCTTTGCTTTGCATTTTTTTTAAAGCTCGTCTCAAATGTACAAGGAATGCGAATACATACACATTGTGGCATAAAAGTGAAGATGAAAAAGGAATCGAACTCACAGAGACTCTTCTATTAACCCAGACAGACAGGCTAACCCCTTCAAGCCTGGACACACCACTGAAGCGGAAAATAGGCCAACCAAAAAGGACTCCAGCATGAGAAACCAGATCAGCTGCGTATTTTCTCTGCACGTCGTCTGCTCGGAAACGCAATCCTATGCGCATGCTTTTCAGCACTGTTTCTCCACCTGTCACGTGACCGCCCGCCACGCTATGAATGGCCAGCGAGGATATGCTACTGCTGCTCTGCCGCCGCAAAAAATATCCAACCTTCTGGAACCGCGCCGCTCTGCCGCTGGCCTAGGAGCAAAATCGCATTGGGCAAATTTGCGCCGATCGTGCCCTAGCTTTTCTAACAGAAGCCCCCATCGAAGCAAAGTATACGTGTGTGTTTTGTTTCCTTTAATGAAGAAAACGAGAGCTTGCAGGGTCATGGGTTAATTTTTCTTCTTTAATCATACCATTATTTATTTTACAACTAACATTTCACGAGCATTTCCACAGTGAGGACAGCGTTACAATACACAACTCACATTTTTACAATATCTGACCGACGGTGCGCGATGTCACACACAGCATATCAGACCTTGTATGCAAATCCGACAGATACGAATGTCATATTTGCTCATTAAAAACGCAGCGTGACACAAGTAGGGCATACACGACCCTGTGCATTTTCAAACCTTCCTCGCGCATACCAGGTTATTTTTCCCTCATGTCAAACACACATTTCGGCCTCGTGCAGAAAAAAAAAATGTAGCGTGCTTTAGGAAGTATAGGTATTTATCGAAGACACACTGATCTATGGACTTAGTCAATGAAGGTCTGCATGCCTCCAACCTAGAATATATTTTTCTCGAATTATACTTTTCGAGACGCGGTACTACAACAAGTGGCACCCCGGCCCCACACCCCAAGATCACTCTTTCGGAGAGTGGCTTTAACCGACATTTTTTTACTAGGAACGGGAACTTCCTTATTTAGTTTATTATACTAAATTAGTTTATTACAAATTTTTAGATCTCGGTGTTTGCCATGAAGTGGGAGGTTGAACGATGTAGATTCGCTTTTCCGGGACGAAGGAGCAAAAAACCGAGACAAACGTTCCGTAAACAAAACTTTCAGCTCGCCGCCAACTCGTGTTGTTAAAAGAAAAAAACAACAAAAAAACAATGCTCTACGCGTAAGAATAAAATCGGCAGCCCAGCTGGGATAGATATATGGGGAGCAAATCGACACTGAAACCTGCACAGGAGCACTTAAAAGGTTCGTGAACACCAAATTGTATCACCCAAGTTGGTAACCCAGATGAGCACTTTCCGTTCCGTACAGTAATCCGTTTCACCTTACGACAAACCACAACCGACGTCCGGATCTAAAGCCTTGAAAGTGTCGTGCTGCTACGCACCCCGCCGTGCCCTTTCCTGGATGAAAGGGCACAGCGACCTTGAGGATCCGCGTGACCTTGGGTATTCCAAAGGTCATGCGACACTCGCGAGGCATTGGACTGGCTCCAATGATTTGTGGACTCTGCCACGGTCAATCGTAACATGAAACGGAGTGTAATTTTGACGATACCTTTCGTTCGGAGACACACCGACGATTGCTCGCTCGATTGCTCGTGCTAACCGTGCCTGGAACCCGTCTCCGACAGGTGTGCACTGCGTCCAAAAAAGCGGTCCGTCGATTTCCGCTTGAAGACTTCATAAAAGCAACGTTCTCAGATCGGTTAACAATTGACCTTTTTCAGAGATCGCTGGGCGCATGCGCCGACTCTGAGAAAGGAGAGGAAAGGGAAAGGCGCCATTTTTGGTGGCTCTCTCGCCCGCTCGGTCGCTCAGACAGTGCTGGTTTGGCCTGACTCCTCCGGTATTCTCGCGGCTTTGCGTCACAGTCGTCATGCCTCACCACTGCGCAGCAGAAGGTTACACAAATAGAAGGAAACATTGTTAAAAATGCCAAATATTATAAAGTTCTTGTAGCCTGGTGGTGCACGAAAGCACCCGATGTCAAACACCCCGCCCTTTTTGCCCTTCTTTCAAAAGCCTATGACGAAAGTCTCCCGTGTCAGGTGGCTGGATCATCAATGTGACGGCGGGACATTCTGCTTTTAGCTAAAATACAGTAAATGTGAACATGATGATATACCTGAAATTGGGGTAGGAAAAGGAAAACGCAAAAGGACACAGAAAAAGGACAGGCAACGTCTCCTGAGACGTTGCCCGTTTTTCCTTTGCGTTTTCCTTTTGCTACCTCAGTCTCAGGTTTAATAATTGAAAATGAGCGTGTTGGTGAATAGATACGAATACATGAAAGGATAAAACATCAAGGACGGGGACGGATACAGGACTTTTTGAAAGAAGTACTCTTTCCGTCCCTGTCCTTGATGTTCCATCAAGGTTTCATGAATTCATATATCAAGTTTTCCATCTTGTTAAACTTACACCAGCTCGCCTGCACTCAGACCATTTTTTGTTAATAGTAAACGTGCAAACGAGGTTGTGTGACGTAATCATGCCGTACCCAGTACTCAATTCAAAAATAACAGCATAACGCTTTCCGTTCGTCAGGCGTATACAAACTCGCGTCTTGCCACGTTAAAAAAAGTGACAAAACAATTAAAGCGAGCGAAACGAATTTAAGCCTTACGGAGACAGTCTCTTGATGAAATTTCTTGGCAACCAACCGTGAACCCCCCGTTTGCTGGGCCCACTTTGTCGAAGGTTCGTAGGTTTGAAGATGGATTGTTTCTAACATACCGTTCCTTACTTTTTGACGGTGCAGGCAATCCTTCGCGATATAAAGACGGCCCGGATTTCGCACCGTCCGAGTTTGTTTACACATTCCCGAATACGGCAATGTCCCGTGCTCTCGCGCGGTACACAGGACGGCGAAGTGACGGGCGCGATAAGCTGAATAACTTAAGCGATCAAGGAGAGTAAAATCAGCTGTTTGTGGTGGCCGGGCCTCGTAAACGGAGCTCACAAGCTCCGCACAAGGTGGATGGTTGGGTCGGTATCCAAGCTGGTCACCATTACTTTCCTTACATAACACTCTGCGACTCTGTTTTGAAAGCAGACCCCTTTTTTAGTTGCTTGCAAGACGCGACACCGAAGTGACGATGAAGTCACTCCGGGTCGATGGTAAGAACCGATGCGGCGTCGGCGGTCTATCCATCCCTGAAGGTAGAAAAACGAACGAGGTCCTCTGTATCCTAGACATTGACTTTGGTTAATCCTCCAGATCGTTCTCAGCCATTTCGAAGAAAATATGCACGCGAAGCGACGACAGAAAGACACGTTCAAATTGGTGAAGGACGGAACAACACCACCAGAGAACACACGCAAACACATGGACCGGGAGACAAGCCAGGCCTGGCGCGGACGACGGAGAAACGTTCCCGGAGCCACCAAAAGTGTTTCGAGCGATTCCCGCGAGGGCGCGCCACGATCTTTGCCAAACTCTGAAAAAGGTCAATTGCTCCGCGGGCAAGCGGCATTCGAAGATGGTTCTTCGTTGCACGCCCGCAAGCAAATATGGGCACTGCGTGCACTGTTGCTTAAAAAAAAACCTGTTGCACCATCTGGCGGTCGAAATAGAAACTATTGATATGTTCCTGGCACTTCGTTTCCGCGGGCTAGCCAGCATTTCCCAAGCCCCGCTATGTTCTCCACGGCATGTTGACAAAAAAAAAAAAAAAAAAAGAAAAATAATCTTCATTTTTTGTTGCGTGCACGAGTGCCTCAATGGCTGAATGAACAAAGCTGAGTAGCTATCCTTTATAAAATTCTTGCATATCCGGGCAAGCCGTAAGAAATGGAGCCGGTGGAGCGTCGACTGCAATGAGTCGAAGCGGTTCCCGCGGTGTGACCCACCACGTGAGCTTCGTTCGCGTTCTTTTTTAAGGCAAAAGCCTTACTTGTCCCATTACGGGAAAAAGCGGCGCCGTTGTGCCCGGAAGTTGACCCCACCAATACGTCATCAAGCAAGTGCCTCAGAAATAAAACACAAACAAAAGCAAAGCAACGCAGATGCTTCGTGAGGGAAGCCGTCGTGAAGCTGGCGGGGTTCGCCGCGCCTGCTTGATGCATGAGCCAAGGTCACAGCCAGAGCGCCGTGTGAAAAAGGAAGACGTGGCACGCTGCTCATAGGAATGCGCAGCATGTAGAAATGCTTTCGCAATCCTACACGTAAACAAATGTCTCTGTTGATTTTTTTTTTTTTTTATTTGCCTAGTTTTTATTATGCAGATTTACCCGTATAGCTGGCACCACCAGCTGCAGGGGTAGGTGTACCGAGGACCTCGCGTTCATGGATAGTACCACGTGCCGCCACTTCGTGACGACCAAAGTGGCAGGGCTGCCAACACAGAAAGGAAGAATTTCCCTTGCGGACACCTTAAAATTCCCTATTTCTGCTTAAATTTCCCTCACTTGCCCAAATAATTATATAATACTAAATATTCGTTGTTACCTGCACCACTTCCATTCTTACGATGAGAGATAAATTATGTTGCCTTTACGCCCCGCATATGTTTCGCAAAAAAAGAGTGGTCAGAGCAGATCTAGCGAGGGGAAGTGTTACTGGGAGATTCGACGTGCCAAATGAAACCCTATCGTCGCCTAAAATGTAATGCACATCATCAGAACATGGTACTCGTTTAATAACTTCTTTAGCGCTTTTTATAATAGACGGTTCAAAACGAAAACTGTAACACAAGCTAGTGCTCTCAAATTCGAGCACATGGAACACGACACATAACAAGCACCATTTCGTGCCAGGGCACTTCGCGAAATATTATTAGTCATGGTAAGCCTGTATCTTTGACATGGTGTCTGTACCTCCAGACATCTCAGTATTTTCTTGTACTCAAGCTTTCTTTTCTGAAAAGGCATAGCTGCGCTCTCAAAAGCTTCAAGTTGACTGATCCCTTCCTGCGTAGTTTTCATGGCGGTGATGAAAATTGATTTTGCCGAAAAAAAGTTGTTTCAGAGCTCCTCAGTGTTGCCAGATGGTCTCACTACAAAGCGCCAAGCAGATGGAGGGAATAACCCAAAATGTAACCAAAGCCAATGAAATTCAATGTTATCTCGAAAGAAAACAAAAACATGATTGACCTAAATACTCCAGATATATACAGTGCCCAAAAGTTCCCTCAAACTAGCAAGACTTCCCTTATTCTCACATAGACCTGAATATTACCTTAATCTGGGAAATTCCCCTAAGGTTGGCAGCCCTGCACTGTGGCCACTTTTCACCGCAGGCAATGAGCGCACGCGCCACGAAAAGGCGCCAGGCGTTCTAAAAAGCTTGTCAACTGTCTCTGATCTGGTAACGTTCCATAGAAGTGTCGTGCTGTCGCCGCCCACGATCTTGCCGGTCGTGTCGCCGGAGCAGTGGTGAACGTGGCAGGCGCTTTCTGCTGCGGATCACGCTCCGGCTTCAGTCAATGAAAGTTACAACCGGCGGGAGTTGGTACGCCGCAACGACGGCGACGCTCCCCTTTCGCGCGTGCTTTTTGCCTATACTTCTAGCACCAACTACCAGGATCGTGATATCCGACAGCGCGACACTCCAACGTTTCCGACGTTGTTCGTTGCCACTTCGGGACCACTTTTCTTGTATGGGCATGATAGGACGCTGAACGCTTGCGGAACTTCCCGTGGGTGCTGTACTACAGGAAGCGCTCAAAACCGTGTCCGGGTGTCAGTAGCGGCGGCACTGCCAGTGCGTTTGGCACTTTGTCCACAGGCTGCTAGTCTTGGAAAAAACCCACACATTATCGGCTCTGCACCTTAGAGTAAAGTGAAGCACACAGGTTTCTCTGCGGGTCGACTTGGTGGATTTAGGCGAATCTACCATAACTGCATCACGCGTGCTGAGAAGCTTAATTTTGATATTTCGAAAGCGAGAACATGTTTTGATGTGATTGTGTCAACACGAGGAAATGTGCTACAAACAGAATGGTACATTTTCGAAAGAGGAAACATTATATTGCAAATAACAAACTCATACATTCCTAAGATAGTTTGTCACCCGAAAGTATGAAGAGGGCTAGCCAATGACGACAACATCGCCCGAGTCATTATAAAAACCCTCGCAGGCGACACGTGAAGGTCCACCATTGAGCTGACCTGATAATGTGGTAACGTCAGTTCCACCCAGGGTGCTCAGTGCACCTCCAACTACCCTGCCTACCACATTCTCGAGTTTGTTGTTTTCCTACCGACAACATCGTAAGTGTTACGCAGCTCGTGCCGTTGCTTATCGCGACCCCGGCAGTGACACGGCAACAAATTAAGATGTATGCGGCGGGCGCTCGTTCTAGAGCATACATTGCCCTGAAGCCAGAAATTCGATGGAAACCAAGGCAGACACCCTCGCGTCCGCTCGCCATTTTTGCCAGCGTTTCTACGACCAACCACTGGGACGGCGACACCCGAAGGTGTGACATGGCGGCTCCTGCGAGGCAATTCCTCGCCGCTTTGTAACCCCTTGCAACCGCACGGGCGGGATAGGATGGTGGACACACCAGTCGAAGACGAGTTCTCCAAGTACCGCAGTTCTACCCACGTTTCCCCCGTCTCCGGTCGCCTCCGACGAGCGCCATCGGCCAGAAACAAGCTGCGGCGGAAGCTACGAGTCTCCGGTACCATCGGATCATTGAGAGGAGGCGCAGCAACCCAGTCGCGCGAACACGTCACGCGACGACCCGACACACGTATCACGCGAGTTCACAGCCGCAAATGCATTGCGGCGTCAGATCGACCGCGATCCGCCGCGAGGCAAGCTCTTGAGCACGCAGCGCTAGGCCCCGTTGCACGTCTGCTCGTGGCTCGCCAGCATCCACCTGCTCCGGAAGGACTGGAAGCAGCGGCTGCACTTGAACGGGTTGCAGCCCATGTGCAGCCGGAGGTGGGTGGTGAGCGGGGACCTCTGGGCGAACGTCTTGGGGCACAGGTGGCACTTGTAGGGGCGCTCCCCGGTGTGGGTCCGCATGTGCGTCACCAGATTCCACTTGACGGCGCAGGCCATCGGGCAGTGAGGGCACTTGTAGGGCTTCTCGCCCGTGTGGGTGCGCACGTGGCGCACCAGGTGGTCGCGCTTGTCGAACACCATGGTGCACAGCGGGCACGGGTACAGGGTCTCGCGGCTCGAGTCGAACGTGTGGATGCGCACGTGGTTGGCCATGCTGATGCGCCGGGCAAAGCCCACCGAGCACACAGGGCAGCGGTAAGGGGGCCCCCCCTCACCAGCCGCCGTGTAGTCCCGCGACACGTCCGGGTCCTGGGGCTCGGTCTTGATCAGGCGGCCCTCGAGGAAGCCGGAAGCGCTTATGGCCCCATTCAGGAGGCTCTCAACTAGGGGGGAAAGGAAAAACATTTTTAGGCTAAGTGGCACCAAACATCCGTTCGTCTGTCCGGAGTGCGCACGTTTCAACAAAAATGAGGTACCCTAATGAAAAGAAAAAGAATTGAGTGCGATTTGTCTAATGAACCTACTTGAACTCTATAAATTATATCAGGTGCGTATGAGGCATACACATTCTTATATGACTTATGTTCTCATGTTTGTTGGATGCATCCATTTTTTTTTTCACCGGGGAATAATTAGTGTTTTTAATGAGCATGTTTATTTAAAGCGAAACGGTGCATGAAATGTGTGTTTGTTTCGTGTGTTTGTAGCAGTGATATTCTGGTTGTGTAGCCCACACTTAGCTGCGGTGGCTTATTAAAAAATTAACTGCTGTATATTATAAATAAATAAAGAATGGATGAGGCAGTTGCACATGCCCCATCTTTGCAGCAAAAAGTGGCCGAAGCGAGTCACCACTAAAGGCACGGCCGTTGATAAGGAACATAAAGATTCACTAATACTCAGCAAATGCGCAGCCATAGAAAAAAGTGATGTCGGCAAGTAAGGGGCAAGTAGCAGAGTTGAGAAAATTAAAGCAGAAGAGATGCAGCACTCACTCGTGCTACTTCTGCCATGCATATTACCAGGGGACACCAACTCTTTCCAGTCTGTGGCAAATCACCCCAAGTCACTTGACAAAGCTACAACCTCCTCCCTCCTATCATGAGAAACTTGGAGGAGTGTTCCCTGACACCGAAGAACATATTGCACATTGTAAACCTAACATGTACCTAAACTCAGGCGAATGGAAAGCATTACACATGACAAAAACGTGAAAAATTAAAGAGATAGGTACGCAATATGCAAAGGATAGACAGGACTCTATCCTGTGTCTGTTGTCGTCTATGGGCTCACTCCAGTCGCCGGTTTTTGTAACATGCAAAGGACTACAAAGGACACCATAATTGCGCCATTTCTCGAACTTACAGTGAAAACTCCCTGCCACGGTCAAGGAGAATGGTTCGGTCCATCCAGCCGGAAACGAGCGGTACTCTGCTGTGGTAACTGCCTTTATCTTGTCAGATTATATAACGCCAATTTTCATTTATGAGTGAGTGCATAATTAACTAAAATTACGCATCACACAGGTGTCACGACGGCAATATGTTACAGCCAAAAATTATGTTCTTCAGCCTTTTTGAAACAAGTTCACTCCACAATGTGCAGGAACAACTTCGATTGTAGGATGAGCAACCTGAGCTCCGAACTGCAGCATTTACGTGCACATCACAATTTCATAGCCTATGACAGCCAGCAAACCAAAATTCCAATCTTGGGCACATTAAAACTTCACATGTCTACACTTCCCTTGCTACGACACTCCAGCTTAGAGGTGTGTCAATAAAAGCAAAGTTAATAAACTTGCTCCTTGTAAATACCACACACCATTTTTAGGTTTCTGCTTATCTTCCCTGTGTAAACATAACAAACGTTCCAAAACCCAAAATGTGGTTAGTGTTTTTTTTTATTTTTTAGCTGTCAAAACTGGATGTTTGGAGGTCAGGACAGACTTAATGGGTGATAAAAAAACAATTCAAATGACAAACATAAAAAAAAGGGATTCAGACACACTGAGGTCTATGAAACTTGGAAGAGCAGGAAATGCAAAACTTGAAGTGGGCCAATAAACATATATCAGAACAAAAAAGAGCCAAGAAAAAATATGAAGAACAATGAACATGGGCTTACAGAGCTGCAACACCAAATTAAGCTTAAGTCCAAGGGTGTATGTCTGAAAACATTTTTAAGAGAGCATAAAGCAAAGTTGTATACCCCAAATAGAAAAAAAATCAAAATATCATTACTGTTATATATAATGAAATAATATCATTACTGTTCTTGTGAGCGCCTGTGACGAGCGGTCCTTGGTACGCCAGTATGTACAGAACTGGAAAACCTAATCCTGACTCACTGGAAAACACAACTACAGGTTACCTTTACCTGGGTTCATGTTGGATGACACATGTTAAAACATAAAACACTGAATGCAATACCATTAGGGCAATGAGCTAAAACAGCAAGGTCAGTCAAACTGGTCAGCCAAAAAAAAAAAAAAACTATTTTTTAACTTGGAAGAAATGTTAGATTGCCCCAACAGATAAAAAAACAAGGGCAGAGACCAAAGAAAACCTGTGCCAGGATGTGACCCTAATAAATTGGCATCCAATCATTCAGCAGGTTCTATGTGCGCTTTCATAAGCACAAGGACTCCAACCATCTATTAGCCATACCCCATGACTGAAATAGAATTGTCAGAGAGGGAAGCATACCTACTATAAGCACAAAACAAGTGTGGGATACTGAGCACACAATGATAATGACAAACAGAAATTAACATACAAAGCTGATCTTGCTGAAAGGTAATTACACACTTCACATTACAAAAAACAAGAATTTTGAACATTTTAACAATATTTAAATGACACCAGCACCCACCTTGCAGGTAGCTTGGTATAATAGGAAAAGCTACAATGAATGTGCAAGAGTAAAATAAGACTTCATGCACTTAGCACCAACATAGCATGACAGGACACCAAGGTTTAGCTTTAGTTGTTACACCAAGTCAACTTAAACAAAACACTTCTCTGCAATGGTAGTAGACAGTGTTTTCCTCCTTTTCTAACAAAAGTTACCATTGCATGGTTAGACTGCAAGTCTTTTTTACAAATGGGACCAAGCACATTACAGGCACGAGTTACATTGAAAAAGCCATAACACAGTGCAATTATGCTTTAACAGTATGAACACCCTAAAACAAAGCGTTCCTTATGGACTTAGACTGATGCCAACAAATAAATTGATTTTAAAATATGAACATGCGTATCAAGGTGTTGAAAACACTTACTTATGAACTTGAACATTGCTGCCAACAGATATAATCATTTTTCATGAAGATTATGTATTGTAGAAGCATTAGTTAAAAACAATAAAACCATGCAATAATGCTGTAGAAGAACCTGATAAGAGGAACCTGAAAGCAACCCCTTAGAAGCATCCCACTGATATCTGACATTTGCTGAGGCTTTATTTTATTTAGCGCTAAGCCTTCAAAAAGCCAAGTCCTTTAGTGAAATATCCACTAAAAGTCTAAGGCTTCTAGTAGGGCTCTTTTCAAGCTGAAATGCTCACAAAGATGCAGTGTTTTTCCAGAAACAGCTTGCTCGGAATGAAGATGACCATTCACGTTTTTATGGGAAACATGCAGAATGCTAGTAAATAAGACTAGTAGCCATGGGGATGCAGCTCATTATGCTGCACATTTCTCATCCACTGCTTTGAGCAAGCCAGCAGCTCTTTATTTTAAAGTCGTGAACAATCAGTGACAACTGGGAAGTTTGTGGGTGGTAGTGGCACTGAAATAAATATTACACCTGTACTGTCAGAGCTTTAAATAACAAAAACCTTTAAGTTGTCCTGGCAGAAAACTGATTGATGTCCATGCCTGGGAAATTTGTTTTAATGTTTCATTTGAGTTGGAATTCAACAGAACAAACTCCCACCTGTAAACCTGCAAAAAAAGACCCTTCAAGAAAATTTTTAAATTCTAAAGTAATTAAGATTGCCCAAAGCCTCTTGAAACCTGGACTACTAACTAGACAACAGCTACTGCTTGGACGTTCTAATATGGTTATTTTTTCAGAAGAGGTATAAGAACCTCTGTCGCCCTCCCCCAGGCAAGCGTTTCCTTGCCCATGTGCGAGAGCATGCGCTAAGACAGATTCTTTTTTGAGTCAGCCGTGGCATTCAGGCAGCAATAGAAGACATATGTCCTGGCCTCCCCAGTGCTGGTGATTCATTCAATTCCACGCAAATATAGTTGCGGCCTTTGCAAAAGAAGAAACAACCTGTTACAAATGCCGACGGCCATTCAGTTGCAATTGTCATGGCTTCTCGGGTACTGGTAAAGCTTGCTGAAGTTCTGGCAGATGTAGATGCAGCAGTTACACACAAAATAAAAACGGCCCGGGACAAATGTCGAAGGCCTTTCAGCTGCAGTCACACTGGACCTAGGGTCACCTGCAAAGAGGCACGACCATAAGTTTTGAAGACAGATGAGCGATTAAGAAAGGATGTCCCACATAATCATCCACTTTTTTAAGTTTTTTTTTGGCAGCGACTTTTTATTTTTGTTTTATAATGCATGAATTGCATTATAGGACACTGTAGACGTAGCCAATATGATTTATAACCTTGAAAGGCTTACCCCTTATAGTACTGACAACCTCAATTCTAAATGCTTGAAAAATACTTAAATGTACAGTGCTATTATATTAACAAAACTTTTTGAGCAGTCTCTCGCGCTAGGCCTTATCCCTGATAATTGGAAGATTGGGAGGGTGTTTCCCTTGCACAAATCAGGTGACAAACCTTCTCCAAATAAATATAGTACTAGCCCTACATCTCAGTTACTAGCATATCCTGCAAAATTCTTGAATGTGTTATATACTTGCATCTCGCTAATTTTTTAGTCTAATTCTTTCTTCAATCCAGCTCAGCGTGGCTTCCGGAAATCATACTCTTGCGAGACTCGGCTGTTATGTTTCACACGATTTTCACTCCATTCTTGGCTGCGGCCCCCAGGTAGACCGCACATTTCTCGATTTTTCCAAAGCTTTTGACAAGGTCCCTCACTTCCTCCTGATTCAAAAGCTGAACAAACTTAACACTGACTAATGTCATTGCATGGTAACACTCGTTTCTTACTAACCGATCGCAGTTTGTTACTGTTAATGATGTCGACTTTCAACCTTCTCTAGTAACTTCAGGTGTTTCCCAGGGCTCTGATCAGGAGCCACTCTTATTTCTAATCTATACTAACGACTTACCTAACAATTTATGTCCATCCGCCAGTCTGTTTGCAGATTAGAGCGTTCTTTATCGTGAAATTAACAATGACTCTGATATATCTCTCCTCCAGTCTGATGATGTTAAGTCTATCTCTAAATAGTGTAACACGTGGTGCATGAAATTTAATACTGTATAATGTAAATACATGCATATGTCCCGTCGTGACATGTTACAGCCGGTTGCCCCACTGGTAACATTCCTCTTAAATTTGTGTCTTCTTACAAGTATTTGGGCGTACATAAAACTTGCGATTTGTCCTGGAAAACTGGAGAGAAATTCATCACTAGCAATGCTAATCAAATGCTCGGTTAACCTGAAACGTTTTTATGTGCACCTACGTCATTGAAACTACTCCTGTACAAAACCCTCGTTCGTAGCTAGCTGGAATATACTGCATCTATCCGAAACCCCCGTCTTGACTCACTCATTTCAGAATTGGAATATGTTCAGAATCGTGCCTCCCACTTTAATCTTTCTAGTTACCATCATACTGCCAGCGCAATGGCTATGAAGACCAGCTTAGTGTTCTTCACTCTGCAGAAAAGTCTCCCACTGATGTTTGCTCCATAAAATATATTATTACAACTCGTGCCGTGATCAACCTGTATTACTTCAATTAGCAGCTTTTTTAGTTCTCCATGCTGCTGTGTGCTTATCCAATGTATTTTTAAGCAAACCACTCCAATCTGTAATGCCTCTAACCCCGAGGGTTCAAATTTGGGGGCTTTACGTGCCAAACCTACGACGGGCATCTCGCACGCCCCAGCGGAGGACTGAGGATTAATTTCGAGCACCTGGGGATCTTTTGACGTGCAACCGAAAGCTTGGTTACACGGCGCCTTCTCCGCAATAAGCCTCTGTCATATTGCGGGCACCTCGGTCGGCTGGCCCTGAGGGTAAATAAATAAATAAATGCAGCATTTACGAAGTGATGCATTAAACGTGTTAAACGGTTGATTCTGGGGGAGTGAAGAACTTACATTTTTATCAATTTCCCACTAAATTTAGTGTGGAAACCGACTTGGCGCAGAGATCACGTGACATTCATTTCCCCTTTAAATTCAGAGGGGAAAATTAATTGATGTAGAGGTCTCACCACATCAGGTCATCTGATGTCAACTTTCCCCCTAAATGTAGCAAGGAAACTGACTCGCTGTATAGATCTTGCGACGCCGTCGTGCGACATAAACTTTCCCACTAAATCTAGCAGGTAAACCGAACTGGTGTTTAGGTCACGGGACATCATTTTCCCCGCTAACTTTCGTGGGAAATGCACAGAGGGACGGACGAAAGGACAGACACTTTGGGATTGGGGAGTTTTATTAAAAAGTGTTTCATGCTTTAAAGGAACAACCAGTTAAACTCTTTGGTCACCTAATGGGACATTCCCACACTTCGCAGTGGGAGCAGAAACTATGTGACAGGAGAGTTCAACTAGAAGCCGCAGGAATAATGCTGCCCGGCCAAAACCAAACTTTTGTGTGGCAGAGTTACCCAAGCTTGCAAAGTTGTTTACCCGTAACCATAGCTAAACTAAGAACAAATTTGTGAACAAGATGCTTTTAGACTTGTGCTGCCAAATATATATAAAAAAAGCCACGCAAACGAACAATTAGAAGCTGAGTTGTGAACGAATGATATGCAACTCCTAAAAGAATACTGAACACCCAAAAACTTTTTATAAGGACCTGTACAGGACTTGTATGCCAGGAAATAAATTTCCCTCAAAACAATTGGAAGTATTAGTGCAATATTTAAGTTGCAAGTCATTTGCAAAATTCTGAAAGACATTCCTATTTCAGGTTGATCTGCTCAAACTAGAAGCACATTTCGGAATCACTCCACAGTTCGCAACTTAATACCAGGCTAAACATTTCTATTTTGTTTATTTATTTCTAAAAAAAATAATATTTTTACAGAGTTCAGTGTATCTGGATGCGATCGCAAAACATACATCTATTTTGGGAAGATGTTCCAAAATAGAGGCACATGTGGGAATCACTCTTCACACAAAATATGTCAACCAGAAATAGATGCCCCTAACTCAAATTGCACTAAAGCAATTTTTTCTTTGGGGGGTGGGGTTTCCTTTGTGATTTATGTATCCTATACAGGCACTTAAAAAAAAAGCTTGGGAATTCAGTGTTTGTTTAAGGCCCTAGCACAAAACATATTGTATGGGTTATGGAAACGGCTGATAGCTGTTCGGTCACCCTGTTGCGTCATGTAATAATCGGCTGTAAAAGATATCACACAGTTTGCAGCTGAACACGCACACCCACACCACCACACAAATAAAATGTATGCTAGCCAGGATATAATTACAATATCTACAGATGAAAGTGCAACTTCAATAGAAATAAAGTACAGCATATGGCATTCACCATGGGACAGTAATACGTGCCTCAGTATTCAGCTGAGACAGGGTCCCCTTGCTTTACCAAATGAGGAAAACCCCGACGTAATCCTACCTAAGCGTAAAAATTGCCCTGGAGCTAGTTCTGTTCATACAAACTGTTCACAATTCGACAGGTAGGAGTTATAATTTAGCTGAGTTGCAACCTTGTAGGACATAACACTGGGGTTTTAGGACAAAAATGTCACCCTACTGGCGATTTTCACCACCCGTTTTTGAACCTACTTTCATGAATCCGTCTTCGGACTGCTAGGCAGTGTGAATATCTGATTCAGTCAAGAAGGCTGGCAATCAAACCTGCCGCCACAGCATTCTGTTCTAGCCGCTAGGTGCCACCGATTTTGCTGGAGTCGTCAATATTGAATCCAAAGCTATACACAAACCCAGGAGTAGCCTCCAATATACGGCACACTTTCGATATTAGTTATTGATTTTGCACTTCATATACATAAGTGATAGTTTGATGGACCTTGTTTTTGAAATCCATATTTGGACCTACTGATTGATAGTTTTGTAAACAACTTACACAATCCAATGTTTATTATGTTTTTGAACATAATAAACATTGGCATGTTTCAGAATGCCTGTATTACTAACCAGAGTGTATGGTGAAGTTTGGCTTTGATAAATGCCTTTGGGTTCATTCAAAAATACACCAGGATTCATACTTTATCAAGGAAGCAAGGTTCATGTTCATAAAATAAAAATCTGAACCATCAAAAAAAATATTGCAAAATACTTAGCAGGGATGGGAAAATACATGCAAATATGTATAGAAATACAAATACAAAATACTTCGTCAAAAATGTATTTAATTACAAATCTAACTACATTTCCAAAAAAGCATTTAAATACAAGATACAAATACAACCAAATGTATTTGGTCTCCTCGAAATACTTTTCCAAATACATTCCTCAAAATTTGCGTCAGCGACTTTAAGGCACCTGCAACGAGTTTCTGGGTATCTCATTTTAATTTTGCATTACACACTCGGGAGTTAGTGTGCGAGGCTCTAGCAACGTAATAGAAATATAATCACAAAAAAATGTAATCAGCTTGGACGTAATAGGTGAAAAAAGTACAGAGCTTTAAGCAGCTTTTTTTGTCGATTACATTTTGGTATAGGCCAACAAAGAACCGAGACGACCAAGACGCGCAGCACTAGCTAGAGAATTTTTTATTGTTGCAACTCGCACCAGTTACGAAAATGTGGACGCCCCACGCATTTAGAATGTTCCAGGCAAAAATATGAATGGAAATCAGGCTGGAAAGCATCACAAGTTGTCACAGGCACTTATTTAGCCAGTCTGCCTGTGAACGTCGATTTCGTCACTATTCTTGCCCTGGACTAGCACGGTCGTAATCACAAAGTCACTAAACGCTTGTGCTTGATTGAGAGGCACTGCATTCGGTGCAGAACATAGTTTTCTTCCTGCTCTGGACAGTGACAATAAATTTGAGGGATGTATTTTCGCCCACAAAATTGTATTTAATTACAATTGTATTTGAACTACCCACGTTTTAGTATTTAAATACACACGTCAAATACATTACCCAATTTGTAATTAAATACATATGCAAAATACACAAAGTATTTGAAATACTGCCCATCCCTGATACTTAGCATGAACAAAAAAACTGCCTTTCCATAGTTTGCTCAAATACAGTATTGATGAGCCCCAAATTTTACCACCTAGGTCAATGAACCAGATGATCATCTTTCAATGTGCCCTTAAACATTTTAGGAAAAACAGAAAAAGCTGGTGATTGCTTTTTTTGTGCTATGCCATGCTCCATAGATCAGAAAAGGTTCTCAAGAGAATAAATCAAAGCTTTCTCTTCATACATAATTTGCTCTCTCTGTCCCATTGTCAAATTTTTTCTAATGTTGAGAGCAAAACAATATCACATTCATGTCATCAAAGGAAATAGAGCCTACAACTACCGAATTACACAAAAAGTACCCATG